TTTTGTTGTACTTTACGAGACGAACATTTTGAGCTTAATTAGTCAACGATTGGACAATTATTACCAAATAAAAACAAAACGACACTGTAGCTACAGTCGTTTGGCGGCGCCAATTCGGCCCAACTAGATGTGGCCTAAGGTTGATTCTGACTTATAAGCTCAAACGGACTGATCCATCCACATCCACTGTAGCTAGTCATACTCCTATATTCTGTCATAGTAGTAGTACAGTATATTCGATCTTTTATTTTCTAAAGTCTCTTATTGCCGATTGGTCAGTGGTGTGTAGTACTATTAGTATTCTCTCTGTCCTAAATTATAAGTCATTTCAAAAATCTTAGATAGTCAAAGCATCTCAAGTTTAACTAAATTTATATAATAATATAATTACATTTATGACACCAACTAAGTATTATTTCATTAATTATATTTTTATAGTATACATATTTGATGTCATAAATCTTTATAATTCTTTCTATAATTTTTATCAAACTTGAGATGCTTTGACTCTTCAAGATTCTTGAATGAAGTATAATTTGGAATGAAGGGGGTATATATGTTCTTCTTGCGCCTAAGACCCTCTTGTTAGCTGATTTACCATATCTAGGTACACTTGGTTGCAGATATTTTTTTTCTCCTCCTCTTTCTTGAGTGGCTATTTGTGCTAGAAAATCGAATGCACTAAATGTATATTATAAATTAAAAAAAGTGAGCTCTATACGGCTAATAAGCATGGTGTTAATCAATATACTTCGTCCATTCCAAAATATAGTGTGTTTCCTAAATTAAAATTTCAAAGTTAACCAAATTTATAGAAAAATATCATATATTTAGTTGACTAGTAACCTTTTGTTTTAATGTATTTATTAAAAAATATTACAGAATATTAATATTTATGATACAACTTTTTAATACATCGTCATGCCGGCCGCAGTCTATTTTCTCACATAATTCCTCAGTCTCTAAATATCTATCATTTTTGTTTTCCGAAAAATAAATGACTAAATATATATTAAAAATATTAATATTTATGGTACATAATTAGTATCATTAGAAAGATCTTTAAATCTAGTTTTTAATAAATTTATTTGGAGATACAAATATTATACGTATTTTTTATAAATTAAGTTAAACTTAATTATTTAACGACGGATACTCCTGTCCACTTCCACGCTGTACCCAGTACCCGGCAGCAGCCTGCAAGAAATTGATGTTTGGCCACTCGCGTCGCGCGTACCGTACAATGACGCTGCAGCGAGCGAAGGACCGCACGCATCAAAATTTGTTCGCCGGCCGGCCGGCCGGCACGGTCGTCTAGGCGGCTTGTCTCGTCGTTGGCATCCATGGCACCAGCACCAATAAGAGGACGCCAAAATGTGTACGAGTAGTACGTGGTACTGCCAGCCACTCCTCGTGTACTTATGGATATACACGACCTCTCCATTTGCCAAACGTACCGCTTTGGCTTGGTGCTGGACGTCTTCGGGCCCGTTTGGCCGGGCTCCCGGCGGCTCTACATCATCTGACTCCTTTTCTGATCATCTCCTGTAGCGACAGTGTTTATCGAATCCGCTTTTCTCTCTTCTCCTTTTCTCTCTCATTAACAGTGTCGGAGCCGGAGCAGCTCGTTTTTTTTTTCTCCATCGGGTCCAGCTCCTGTGCGCTACAGTTATACTACAGTGTAGGAGCCGGAGCCGGCAGGAGCCCGGCCAAACGCGCCCTTCACAAGCGCGGTGACTTCACTACGCCTTCCTGTGGAGCATGTCTGTTCCTTCCCGTAAAGTAGCTATTCTGCTACACTTATGGGGTGTTTGATCCAGTTACTAAAATTTAGGAGGTGTGTCAGGAGGATGTTTTATTGGATGTTCGGATACTAATAAAAAAATAAATTATATAATCTATGAGTACTCCACGAGACGAATTTTTAAGCCTAATTAACCCGTCATTAGCACATGTTTACTGTAGCAAACATTGTCAAATCATGGACTAATTAGGCTCAAAAGATTCGTCTTCACAAATTAGTCGCAAACTATGTAATTAGTTTCGTAATTAGTTTATATTTAATACTCTATGCATATGTCAAACATCCGATGGGACAACGACTAAAATTTAGGAGGAGCATGTAAACACCCCCTTATTCGTGACAACAATGCTTCCGATGATGATAAGGTAATAAAAAAAGAAGAAGAAGAACCCTATCTAAACTAATCTACGCGCACGGCAACCGTACGCATGCAGTTTCCGTGCGCTTGGCACGATCGATCGTCAACGTCAGTTGCTTGCTGGATCGGACTAAATCAAGTGGCAATCACCGCTAATCCATCCATACTATATATATATATATATATATATATATATATATATATATACATGATGATGATGATAATAAATATCAAAGCAAAGGCGACGAGTGCCACCGGACGACCGTACTTATAGAAAACACCATTGGCTAGGGCCTTGTTTGGATTGCAAATTTTTATAATCTGGATATTGTAGTAAGTTTCGTTTGTATTTGACAAACTTTGTCCGATCATGGACTAACTAGGCTCAAAAGATTCATCTCGTGATTTACAACAAAACTGTGTAATTAGTTTTTTTTTACCTACATTTAATGCTCTATGCATGCGTCCAAAAATTAATGTAATAAAAAAAGAGTAAAAAATTATAGAATTTTGAGACAATCTAAACAAGGCCTAGCTGCAGTTGAAGAAGGGGAGGGCCCCTCGCGCTGCTCCATTTGGCTGCTTATCACGGGCGTTGATCTCCCTTCATCTCGTCGATCTCTTGGTCGGTCAACGGTCAACCCATATGATGAGGCCATGAGAATGACTTTATTTATTCTCCTTGCCAGATTAATATACATTATGTGTTTATTAGTAGAGCTTTGACTTTAGTTAAAGTTGTTCTGTCTCTAACCACTCAAGTAGAGCAACTTTTTTTTTTAGCTCCGATCCGGACACCTCTAGAAGATGAGCCAATTACTCACATAGTCACATACCACTACTAAAAAATTATCAATTCCATATGCATTATGGAAAAGGTTGTGTAGCCTAGTCGACTATGGATGCAAAGTTGAGTAAGGCTGTGTTGGGTTACCCTAGATTTAAACCAGAAACTATTCTAGCTTTTCAAAACTATACAAATTAGTGAGCCAATTTCAACTGGAATCATTTCAGAGGACTGAATCCAGAGCAACCGAACGAGCTCTAAGGATGAAAAGGTTATGTATGAGTATACATTTCTCCATAGGTTCTGCTTTCTTATACGAGTAATAATATAATAAGGAAGGATAATTTAGGCTCTGCCGCGCTGTTAGCCTGTTACCTTTGCTTGCCCCCTGTAATTACAGTGCTCTTTATTTTTTTTATTTCTGAAAAAAAAGATTTTGGGCGACGGCTGCGTGCGGGTGCGTTTGATGCTAAGATAATTAACTGTCGCACGTGCTTTCATGTTGTGTTTTTACGAAAGCACTCCATCTCCAATATAAAACACTATGCATATGATCTTTAATCTTCTAAACTAAATACGTACTTTAAAAGTTATTTATAATCAATGTTTAAACTTTTTTTTGAACCGGAATCAATGTTTAAACTTGACTTAAATCTTGTCCAAAATATTGAGTACTACTTGCAAACCGGAGATGGTAGCAGTATTTTAACTTAAATCGTTGTCGCTTTACACGAGAATTTGAAATATATATACACAGTATATAGTACTAGATGAGCTACAAGCGCTTGTATTATTATGCAGTTCCATAGTTAGGAAACAAGTATGCTCCTTCATTAGTGTGAACAACGCAACAAATAAATGAATGAATATAATTGCCATGAACAAACGTTGCCGAGAAGATTTCCACCAACAAAATGAAATTCCACGGCGTACAAGGACATCCATCCATATTGATCACAACCACAGCAACACCTGGTAATTTTCCAAAGCAGATTTTGTTCACAATGGAAACAGAGCCAGGAAAGTTCTCTACAGGATGACATGCACTACTCTTTAAGAAATTAATTAATTAATTCCTCGATTATATACAACATCAACAAAAATAAAGCCTTTAAATTCCAAATAAGTTGGGTATGCTAGAGTTGAAACCCAACAAAAGCAATCAAGGTTCAGACACATGAATAGCTGTTTTCCGAGCACTCATATCTAAGGCTAAGTCTTTGAGTATATTTTATCATTTCAAGTCTCCTTTTATTGTCTCTACCCAAGTCAACTTCGATCTTCCTCTGTCTCTCTTCACCTTACTATCATGGCTTAAGATTCCACTACGTACCGGTGCCTCTAGAGGTTTTCGTTGGACATGTCCAAACCATCTCAATTGATGTTGGACAAGCTTTTCTTCAATTGGTGTTACCCCTAATCTATCACGTATATCATCGTTCTAAACTCAACCCCTTCTCGTATGACCGCAAATCCAACGCAACATACGTATTTCCGCGACACTTATCGGTTAAACATGTCGTCTTTTTGTAGGCCAACATTCTGCACCATACAACATAGCAGGTTTAATCGTCGTCCTATAAAACTTACCTTTTAACTTCTGTGGTACCCTTTTGTCACAGTTCCTCGATTATATATAATAACTTAATTTAATGATTATATCACCATGGCCATTCACCCCTAGTATAAAAGACCGTCGCTCTCCCTTGTCTGCCGAGCCTCCCCTAATCATATCATAGGAACAAGAGGAGAGGAGACCACGTCGTCCTCCGCTTCTCCGCGCAGTGGTTGCCCGCCACCAACTCCAAGAAGACAGCAGCGATTGAGCTCGCCAGAATTAAGCAGCAGCAGCGCAGCCATGGCGGCCACCATCCCATGCCCAGGCGCCACGGTTATTACCTACTCTACTAGCTAATAAGCCCTCCACGCGCCCTCTGCCCGCCGTTGAACCAGGCGGCGATCAAGAACAGTTGTTATATATACATAGGTGCACCGGCGTTGTTGCGCTTGCGCCTGCACTCGCCGGCGACGTACACGTACTACGATCGGCGATGATGGTGATGGGCTACTTCCGGTCGTCGACCAAGTCCACGACATCGTCGTCGGCGGCGGGCGGCAAGAACAAGAAGAAGGCGAAGAACAGTTGTGCGCCGGCGCGCGAGGAGGCGGCCGGGCTCCGGGAGGCGCTGCTGGACCAGCCGGCGGCGGCCGAGGCGGAGGGCGGCGTGCCCAAGGGCTACTTCGCGGTGTACGCCGGGGAGGAGTCCCGCCGGTTCGTCGTGCCCACGGGGTACCTCCAGGAGCCGGCGTTCCGGGACCTCATGGAGCGCGCCGCCGACGAGTTCGGCTTCGCGCAGGCCGGCGGCCTGCGCGTGCCCTGCGCCGAGGAGGACTTCGAGGACCTCCTGCGCCGCCTCCAGCGAAAGAACGGCGGCGGCGCCGCCGGAAGGGGAAGAAAGCCGTCGTCGGCCGGTAGATGATCGACAACACCTAGCTAGCTAGGTTCCTTCTTGTTTGTAACAATTTGCTTGTTGACATACGCGTAGATCAGTCGAGGATCGATCGATGCAGTTGTTGTACAGAAACAGAATGCAAGCAAGCAAAGCAGCCACATGCATGCATGGGTGGGTAGCGTAGCTGAATGCATGGCGTGTTGAAAGAGTTTACAGACTTCACAGAGAACTCCTGGGGAATTCAGCTATTTTTTTACGTCTAAAGCTTGAGAGATTCGGTTCAAATTTCAACGTTCCAAACCGGCCGTACGATATTTGCGTTTTGTCTGCTTTTGTTTAGAATAATGAGATCGAGGAGGAGAGAAATATGCAGTAAGACGATAGAGCTTTATTTCTTCAGTTCATGATGTATTTTTCTGATTGAGGTGCAGTCCTGTTCAGAGGATGAATCCTTGTCTTGTCATGCTGTTCTTACAGGAACCGAGAAAAAGGAAAGTTTTTTTTTAATTTGGATTTGGATTTGTACTTCTTTTTTTCATCTTACAAGCTTGATTTATTTCGTTGGTAGGAGATCTGTGATGATGGGGGTAGTGTGTCTCTCCATATTCACATTCATCAATTCTTAGTGATGGACTCTTACCTCTGTTCCATACTTGCGCTAAAACTGAACATGGACCCTGCAATTGGGACATCACTAGTTAATGCAAATTGATGCTTACAGAAATGAATACTGATCGATAGATATAAATCAAACAGATCTGGATCTGAATGTCCGTTACTTCATTCTGAAATACAGCATTGAGCAATGTCCGGAAGATGAGCATGCAAGACTTGGCTGCACATTTGAAAATGTAGCCACTCACTTACGAGAACAGCAATACTGTCTCTTTATCTGGCTCCCTGTAGAATGATTGCACTTGTCAACACTCAACACTGGGAAATGCTGGATGCAGGATTTCAGGTAGTCTGCTGCAAGGTACTAGGCACGTCCATTTCAGAACAGACCAATGATCTACCTCAGAGTAGAAGTAGACCAATCATTGTACTACTTCCTCAGACTTGAGAGAGCTTCAGCCTGATTTCCTGTTCCTCGGTGTCTTCTGCAGAAATATGTTTCAGTTGCCTTGCCGGGCCCTAATTTCTTGCCCTGGTAGAACAAACTACTGAATCCAATGATTAGTTCAGTGGTAGTAGCACATAGAAAGTGCACACTGATTCATCGTTTACCAATCTACCGTTTATTTGCTTCAGAGATTTAACAAAAAGTTGGGCTGATGCACACGGAGATAACCTGTTTTTTTCAGGAACCCAAGATTCAGGTGCAGATGAAGAGGATCCCCTCATGTGTCGTCGATGTGAGAAGCCAGGTGCGCTTGCCTATTTGCCATGTGAATATGTACGAAAAATCCTTTGTTTTGTTGCAAAGCCTAACATTATGTGAAGCATGGTGGTTAGAATATGACGACAGAATCACATATTAAGAATGCAGTGCAGTATGCAGAGTACAATGCGTATCTCATGAACCAAAGTAAACAAAAGATATTTTCCAACTCTCCCTACGTCTGGATCGAAACAGTAGATGCCCTGCATTCATAAAAAGTTACAGACAACGGCAGTTTACTCCTATATATATTTGTACCAAACTTTTGCGAATTATTACTGTTAACCTAATCTTTAAGCAGCTAATCTTCCACTTGCACTCTGTAGTGTGGATTCAGACTTGCAATGCTAAGGGAAGCTAAACGATGGCACATGCTGAAGTTGACTAGATTCATCTTCTGCAATGCTCATCTTCTTGGTTTCAGCTTGTAAGGAAAAAAAAATGCAGATACAAGAATTGCATGAGCTCAGTGTGGAAAAGAATTGCATGAGCTGTGACAGTGGCAATGTGGCATAAACCATCAGAAGTTGCAAGATCAAAGCTTTGTTTGGTTTGTCTTACATTAGATCCTTGTTCTCATCAGCAAACTAAAAAAAAATAATCCTACATCTCCTCCCATCGTTGTACAGATTATAGATCTTATCGGTGCAGTACAATGCAACCTCTCCTCCTTTCTTCAGAAAAAAACCAAGAAGAAAGAAAGAAGCAACCCAAGAAAGGAGAGAGGAAAAAAACAAAAAAAAAGAGACTCAGAGCAGAGCATTGAGACGAGAGCGAGGCCTTGCATTCATGGCGGTGTCGTCGTCTCGTGGTCTCGTGAGCCGTCATCTGCGCAGAGGATCTCGGTCTCGGAGGAGCAGGAGCAGGAGCAGTCGCACATGGCGGCGGGCTCCTTCTTCCTGCCGCCCTGCTGCACGAGGCGGAGGATGCCCTCGAAGGACTCGACGTCGCAGGGGATCCGGAGCCCGCCCTCGTGCCGGAACCCGAACTCCTCCTCGGCCTCCCGGAGCAGCTCCGCGAACGCCCAGTGGCCCAGGTACTCGGTGGGGATGACGAACCGCCGCATCTCCTCGCCCACGTACACCGCGAAGAAGCCCCTCGGCACGCTGCTCCTCCCGCCGCCGCCCTTGCCGCCCGACGCCGCCGACGGCGTCACCGTCGCCAGTTTCTTCCACTTCTTCAGCAGCTGCTGCAGCCGCACGATGTCCCGGATCTTGTTGCTCCGCGCCCACCCTGATGCTGCTGCTGCACCTGCTGGTATTCCTCCATTGCCGCCGCCGAGCTAGCTAGTAATGCCTCGACCGATGCGTTCTTGCTCTGGTAGGCAGGACAGTGGAGGACCCGGAAGGGCGGAGGAGGGCGAGAATATATAGGAGGGCGGGGAGGTTGGAGGAGCGAAGGGATCGCCGGTGCGCCGCAGCAGAGCAGAGCAGCCTGCTCGTGACTTGAGCCTCTTAACCATTGTTTATGTGTTCAAATCGATGGAAGTTCTGGTTTTTTAACTTCTTTTAATGATTAGTTTTCGGGAACGGAGCTCTGCTTTTTTATTCACGAATAATTCGATCCGCGCGTAATGTTTCTTTTATCTTTTCACACTCGCTCATTCTTCGCCATTCGTTTATGGAAATCGTGCGGTAGCATTTTCAAAACTTTTATTACCACTAACTAGCAGAACTGAAGCAATGTAAAGTTACCGAATGTTATTTATGCCCCGTTTGGTAGAACTGTGATCACCTCTGATGGCTCCTCTGTTCACTATAGTAAAAGGCTGTTTTAACTGCTCATCTCAAAATAAGCAAGGAGCAGAAACCGTGCTAAATGGGGTCTTAGAGCAGGGATGTGTATTTTGACATCAAAATTAGCCTGATGCAATGTAAAAACCATGTTCCTGATTTTTCTTTACCCTTTACTGCATATATTGGCAATGGCAACTGAAACAATTTTACATCTGAATTCTGAACAACGCAAGGCAGAGACAGGACTGAGTGACCTCACTGTAATGGAGCTGAACTTGCATGGTCAATAACTCAATATATCATGTCCAAGTTATGGGTATGGAGATTAATTGATGATCCCATGCATGCATGAACTAGCTACCAACTGTGGTCTCCTCACCTCTGTAGCTCTGCTGGTTGTGATGTCACTGATGTGGAAAATGTGTGTAGATGTTCAGTTTTCCTCCCTTGATTTCAGTAATGCTATGGGTCACCGCCGAAGTTTGTTACGTACTGAGGCCCTGTTTTGGTTGAGCTGTGGCTGTGGGAAAAAGCTGCTGTGGGCTGTGAGCTGTGGAAAAGCTGCTGTGGGCTGTGAGTTATAGAAAAGCTGAAAGCTGTTTGGTTAAACAAGTATAAAATATACCTTTTATCTTTATCTCTTTTGAAATAACTATGGAAGAGCTTTTTATTCCACCAATTTCGAAAAGCAGAAAGCCAAAAGCCAAAAGCCAAAAGCAGGGTCAACCCAGCTTTCAAAAATGAACTACGGAAAAGCAGCTGCTTCTGAAAAAACACCATCCAAAAGCAGCCCCTTTGGTTGGACTTTTGGTTTTTGGGGTCAAAAACCAAAGCCAAAAAAACCAACCAAACATGACCTAAATGTACGTACTACTCCTACTCCATTCGAGTCCTTGTCACACTGAATTCTGCACCGGCTTCTTCGGTTCTTCCAGCTCATGCTGCATGCATTCCTACCCCTGTTTTGGTGAAAGGGTCTTCTTGAACCTGTTTTCTGCGTGCTTGATTCAGTGGGCGAGCAGGCAGTTTCTGCAATACTGTCATTCTAAGGCCTCGTTTAGATTGCAAATTTTTGCAATCTGGACATTGTAGCACGTTTCGTTTGTATTTGACAAACTTTGTCCGATCATGGACTAACTAGGCTCAGAAGTTTTGTCTCGTGATTTATAACCAAACTGTGTAATTAATTATTTTTTTTACCTATATTTAATGCTCCACGTATGCGTCCAAAAATTAATATGATAGAGAGAGAGTGAAAAAACTTGGAATTTTGAGACAATCTAAACAAGGCCCAATTCAGGATGTCATATCACAACTCACAATCCAATGTAGTACTAGCTACTAGGTACTCTAGGTATTCCAAAATGGCTGCGTATCTTGCCCTTAGACTTGTCAAATATTTTCAGAGCTGTTTCTCTGCCTTTTCAAATTGTGCGCAGTTAAATATCACTTCTGAAACACCTCGATCATCGCTCTCTGAGGTCGATCTATATGTACGGAAGGGAGAAAACTATGACTTGGGTTCAGAGAATCATTTTGCCTTACGTGTATCCAACTTAACTGCCGAGGCTGGACAGGATGAAAACAACGGGAGCCAATGCAAAACAAACAGGCTGCGTGCACATCAGGTGGTATCATCTGCACACTGCATTGCACTGCAACTGCACAAACGCAAACAAAAATTTGAGCGCCCCCAGCTTGGCATCAGGATGCATCCGCATGCAGATGGATATATATACGTGTAAAAATTCATGTACTTTTGCTCTCTGACTGCATTTTTTTTATCTTCCTCGTCTAGTTCAAGAATCTCTCTCTCTCTCTCTCTCCTGTGTTTCAAACTGTGTGCATGCGGGAACATGGCAGGACTGAAGAACTAGGGGAGCCGGGAATGCATGCCTGCATCTGCGTGT